ACGTCCATGTGAAGTTTCTGCAACGGAGCCTCTGTCGGAGGAACTGGGAGGAGTGAGGGGCAGCACGCTGGCGCCCCTCGACACAGGGGACACAGGCAGGGCCAGGGCCCTGAGGAAGGGGAGGGAGGGACCGGGGGAGACCAGACACAAGAAGACGGGAGGCCATGCCTCTGAGCTGAAGCAGAGAGGGGTGGCCAAGGCGGTGGTGCCAGAGGAGAGTCTCGTGAGACAGACGGCGACACGAACAGGGGGCAGACTCAGGACCAGACCTGGACGCTGCAGCAAACACCTGACCAGACGAAGGGACTCTACCAGACTCAGCACCGGGAGGAGAAGCAGTGGTCAGTGTGTACAGGCTCGACCCTGGCTGACGTGTAAACGTAGCCAGGTGGCGACCCGTGCTAGCCTCTGTGCAGTGTGTCACCCGCTAACGAGCAAGCGTGAACTGGTGGACCCCCACATCCTGTAGGTCAGCACCACTCACCAGGTTCGTAGAGAACGAGGGGAGGTAAAGACCAGTCAGGGTGCCAGAGGGAGCCGCCGGACACGGGAGGACTGTGGAGAAACGAGACAGGACAGGACCCCCAGAGGGGTCAGCCAGGGACACCGCAACCGGCCGACTAAGCGGCGTGAGAGTGGTGCGGTCCCGAAAGAAGGAGCGAGACGCCCCATAGTCAAGGGTGAAGGTGTGGGAGGCAGAAGCCGACACAGTACCCGAGAGGGCAGACTCACTAGTACCTGAGAACAAAGACGCACTGGCACCTAGAGCAGCAGCCTCACTGGCACCTGACACAGCAGTACCAATGCCCGGGTCGGGCGGAAAACACCGGTAACAGTCACCATCATCACTAACAGTCACAGCATACATGGCAGCAAGGATAGCATCAAAGTCAAGATCAAACACAGCTACACCAGCCCTAGACAGCTCTCCCCAGCGGGGGATCTCAGAGGCCTCCGGAAACTGTTGGCGCCAAGCGTCGGTCAGGCGGGCAAAGCAGCGGCGAGCGGTGTGGGTGCCCCCATACTGCTCACCCGCGCGGTCGCCGGTGCGGAGGACGTAGGTGAAGGGACCGAACGCCCCACCACGCTGACGCTGCGAGTACCACTCACGAAGCTGCTGAGGGGCGGGGACGTCGCGAGAGCGCTGCTGCTGCTGCTGCTGCTGCTGGCGCTGACCACCCTCAGTGCCGCTCCTCTGGGACGAGCCACTCCGACCACCTCCACCACCGCCACCCCCGCCTCCGCCGGCACCGCCGCCACCGCCACCCTCGCCCCCGCCGCTCCCACTGCCTCCTCCGCCACCACCTCCGACGCCTCCACCGCCGCCACCAGTACCTCCACTCCTGCCTCCACCCCCACCGCCACCCCCACTCCCCCCGCCGCCCCCACCTCCTCCGCCACCGCCCCCGCTAGCTCCACCCGCTCCCTTGCCCCCCTTGCTCCTGCCAGAGCGGCGCCTACCGCTGGGGGCAGACGCCGCACCGACCGACTCTAAACCAACGAGGTCGGCCGCAGCAGCAGAGGCGACAGAGGGTAACAGGGGGGAAGGAGAACACCCCTCAAAGATGGGGGTGCGCGGGTCACCACGAGAGGCCCAAGCGTATATGGAAGACCTGGCTCTACGAGCAGGCCCACAACCAGTGGATAGGGTTGACCCTGCTCGTAATGTGGTGCGCCGTGCTCGAAACACTCGTCCTCAGAAGCACCCTAGGGCAACGGGGACGTTGCCACCTAGGGGGGGGAGTGTAACGCATTGCCCTAACTAAGCTAACTAACCAACTTCCCTCTAGGCAAATGTCGAGAGTTTTCTTGACAAAGAGGGACTTGGAGAAGAAGGTTGGCTTTGGTTGGGATGGAAGGGTTGGTTTGGTTTTCCAAACCTCAACCAAGAGGATTGGGAAACTCCAACCCATCAAAGTGAAATCACGAAGGTTGGAATTCCAACCAATCAGAAACGGCCAAACAATTGTTACAATCTACTCTATCCTAAACGCAATTGCCACATAGGCTCCAAGCCTAGGAACCATCCCACCATGGAAACCATGGTTGGGATAGTTCCCTAAGGGGTGTATTGAGGGGGTCTGAGCTAAGCAAGCTCATTCTCAACCTCCCACTCCAACTAAACAATTGGAAATGGCTCTCTCACAAGCTTCCCTGCACTACTAATCCAAGTGTTTTCCATCATAGGCATTACACATTCTGACCGCTCTTCCTGTCTCAATCTGCGGGTTGACTCGCTTAACGGCGTCGCGTCCACGTAATCTCGTCCTGACCACCGCGCCGCCTTCACTGAAGCCAGGCTGGAGTCGCTTTTCTCTTCCTGCCCGGGGCTCGATTCCCTGGAGCTGCACTGCCCACCAAATCTGACCACTCTTCCTCCGTCAATCTGCAGGTTGACTCGCTTGACGGCGTTAAAAAACACCGCTCGGGGACTGAAATGTCTTCCTGACGGATTCCGTCAACTCTCCGCTCTCGTCAGTCTATTCATTGAATCAGAAGCCCTGGAGAAGCTTCCAGCCGGCTTCGCGACGGATATCGACAAAATTGTAAAGACTTCCATCCCATTAATCGATTCGAGCATCTCAGATTCGAATGCAGCAGATGCATCGGAGATTGTCGCTCGTCGGAACAGTAGCGTACTGCCTCGGGATAATAACTCGTCGCTGGTTACTTCGCTCGCCTCCATCTCCCCCGCGCTTCCCCTCCCCACACTCTCCGCCCTCCGCCACCTCTCCCTCGACCGCTGCCGCGCTCCCCGCATCCCTCCCCGCCGTACTCCCCCTTCTTGAAACCCCAGAGCTGCGCGAATGCGCCTTACTTTCAGCCGTCCCCGCCTACATCCCCGCGCGCTTCCGCCGCCTCCGCGCGCTCACACTCGCCTACCTCCCCTCGCTGCGCACCCCCCTCTCCGCGCTCCTCTTGAGAAAATTAGAACGAGAATGAAATGACTATGAATGAAGTGCATACAAATAGGAAACCCTAATGGGATTGTACCCCCTATGGGATACCCCACTATAGCCTACACAAATAAGTAAGCTATAATGTTCTGACACACCCCCATAGGCAAAGTGGGGGAGAACAAGGGGTCACAAGACCAGTCAAGCAAAGCAAAGCTCAGGGTGGATCACAAAGTCACCACACATTCCGAGCACAAGTTCAAAGGCCAGAAGGCCACTTCACATGCAAGATCACATATAGAGATATACAAGAGTCAAGCAAGCAAGAGCAAGAGTATATATAGGTAAAGGTACAAGCAAGGTCAAGAAGTGAGCAAGTGAGGCAAGACAGACACAAGACCCAGCTGCGTGCAGCAGCGCTGATGATCACAAGGCGCAAGTGCCTTGGTGAAGACATCAGCAGTGTTGGCCTCAGAGGCCACGTACGCAAGTCACAACTGTCCACGCTGCTGTAGCTCACGAGCAAGAAAGTAGCGTAGAGCAATGTGCTTTGTCCTGTGCTCTAGTCGCTGCTCTCGACACAAGGCCAGCATGGCCTTGTTGTCTACGTACAGGACTGGAGGAGAACGAGGCGGCTCTCCAAGGTCGGTCAGCAGGTAGGTGAGCCAGCGAAGCTCCTGGGCACAAGGGCGGCTGGGAGCGGGGCCGGGACGAGTGACGCACGGGCGGCTTGGAGCGGGGCCGGGACGGGCTGCGCACGGGCGACGAGGGGCCGGGAAGGGTGTGCGCGGCCGGGACGGGTGGCGCACGGGTGGCGTGGGGCCGGATCGGGCGGCGCACGGCGTCGAGGGGCCTGGCGGGCAGCGCGCGGCCGTCTAGGGGGGGGGGGCGAGACGGGCGGCTCGCGGGCACTAAGGGCAGCGCGCGGGCAGCGTGGGGCCTAGACGGGCGGCTCGCGGGCTAGAAGGGCAGCGCGCGGGCGGCGTGGGGCCTGGACGGGCGGCGCGCGGGCTCGAAGGGCAGTGCGCGGGCGGCGTGGGGCCTGGACGGGCGGCGCGCGGGTGTCTAGGGGCCGGGACGGGCGGCGCGCGAGCGTCTTAGGGCGGCGCGCGGGCGTGAAGGGGCCAGGACAGGCGGCGCGTGGGCGTCTAAGGGCGGCACGCGGGCGTCTAGGGGCCGTTAGGGCAGATCGAAAAAGTAAGAGAAAGGGCCCGGAACGCGCTCCGGGCAGAAAAAAAAAGTTCGATGTGGTGGGCCCTAAGCACAGTTCCCACGGGGGAACCTGCTCGATACCATGAGAAAATTAGAACGAGAATGAAATGACTATGAATGAAGTGAGTATGAATAGGAAACCCTAATGGGATTGTACCCCCTATGGGATACCCCACTATAGCCTACACAAATAAGTAAGCTATAATGTTCTGACACCTCTCCGCATCCCGCCCATCTGCTCCCGGCGCAGCGGAAAACGGCAATCCCGGGGCATTCTCGGAAGGAGCGAACGCGGAAGCTTATACCGCGCCAGCTTGTAAGGAGGATGGAGCGGAGAGCACGGTAGGACTGGACCGGTTGGAGCTTCTGGGGTGGAAGCAGATGCAGGAGATTCCCGCTTAAGCTCTCACCTCTCTCTCCGCCTCTCTCACTCACCTCACCATTTCCAACTGCCCCGCCCTCGCCTCCCTCCTGAACGAGCTTTTCCATCTGCCCCACCTCTGCTCCCTCACTCTCTCCTTCCTCCCTCTCATCACCTCCCTCCCTGCCTCCCTCCACCTCCTCTCCCACTCACTGCACCATCTGGAGATTTCCTTGTGTGATTCGCTGCAGAATCCCCCCGCGTCCCTCACTGCGCTCTCCGCCCTGTGCTCCTTGCATCTCATCGCCTGTGGCGCCCTCACCCGCCTGCCGTCCCCGCCTGTGGCGTTGCAAACCATTGCGTATGCGGAAACAGGTTGGGGGAATGGCGGCAGCGGCATCCGTGGCAGCAGCACCACCACCACCACCCCCACCAACACCACCACTCAGGCGCCCCTCCCCCTCCTGCCATCGCTCACCTGCCTGCGCGCCTCTCACTGCGCGCGCCTCACCGCGCTGACTCGCGCATGGATGCACCTGCCGTCACTACAGGAGCTGATCCTGAACGATAATGGCCAAATGGAGTCACTCTTTGACGGGGATAACTCTACCCATCATGACAGCGTTCACTGTGACACTCTGCAGTCTGACACTGCTCCTCCATTCCCCCCTCCTCTCCCCTCTTTGCATTCCCTCACTGTCTCCAGCTGCCCTCGCATCTCCCGCCTCCCTGCCTTCCTCTCCTGCTCCCCCTCTCTCCTCCACTTGAAGCTGCACGGCCTCTCTGATCTCACTCTCCTCCCATTTCATAATCCCTCCAATGCTGATGTAACGGGTGTGGCTTTAACGGGTACAGATGAGGTAACTGGCGCTGTTGTAACCACCACGGCCGCTGTTACGAGTCCTGGTTTTGTCCCCGGCGTAGACGTTGCACAGGGCAGTGCTGGCGCGGCTGCTGCTACTGCTGCTGGGTTGAGAGTGTTTGGAGAGTCAGAGGTGGTGAGACCATCAGTGTCACTTCACATTGACTTGAAGGACAACACGCACATCACACGCCTCCCTCACTCACTCTTATACCCCCCCTACCTCGCCACCCTCACTCTCTCAAACCTCTCACATGTCACCTACATCCCCCACTCCCTCTCCCTCCTCGCTCCCTCCCTCACTCACTTGCACATCAGCCACTGCCCCAGGAGAAGAGGTGGAGGAGGAGGGAAGTGGAGAAGGGGAGGGGGAGAGGGGATGGGAGGGAAAGGATGGGGAACGGGATGAAGAGGGGGAGGGAAAGGGGGAAGTGGGAGAGGGGGAAGTGGGAAAAGGGGAAGTGGGCGAGGTGGGGAATGTGGAAGATAGGAAGCAGTGTCATGGCATGGCTGCCATGTACTCGTTAAAAGTACTCTCAGTCTCGGACTGTGAATCACTGACACACCTGCCGTCAAGCATCCGCCTGCTACCTCATCTCACCTCACTCCACCTGTCTCAACTCAACAGTCTCGTCACACTACCACCCTCTCTTCCCTTAGCCCCCTCCCTCACCTCCCTCAGTCTCTCCTCCTGTGATCGCCTCTCGTCCCTCCCCCCAACCTTTGGCCTCTTGTCCGGCCTCTAGACGTTGCAACTTTCTAGCCTGCCGGGTCTCGCTTCCCTGCCTGATTCTTTTGGGCTGCTACCCAGCCTAGAGCAATTTACCCTGCATGACTGGTGCCTGCTGCGCTGCCTGCCTGACTCGTTCCCGCACCTCTCTAGATTGGCTCAGCTCAGCATAACGGACTGTGGAAAACTCGAGCAGTTACCAACCAATGCAGGGTTACTCTCATCTTTGGAATGGTTAGAGCTGGAGAGGCTGCCAAAATTTTCCAAGCTGCCCGAGTCGATGAGCCAGCTGCCCAGGCTTTGGCAAGCGGAGATTCGGGGATGCAAGGGTGTGAAAGGTGTTCCAGAGTGGTTACGGGCGATCCGGAGGTGGACCTTGTTGTAATATAAGTGGTGTGCTGATTGATTTGGGTTATATGGGGGAATGGAGTCCCTATATATGCTATATGTTCCAAACCAATCGGGAAAACTGTTTGCTGCTTGTCATCCACTTTCCCATGTACGGTGCGGCAGTGCTTAGCATTATTGCATTATTTCTTTGGCTTTTTGCATCTATTGTACCACCTACCACTATTTAATTTCAGCCATTGATGTTTGCCACTCCATTTTCTCTTTAACAGTACCGCTATTTTTGCTTCAATAGTTCCACCATTACAACGCTCTCTTTCTAGTTGCAATTCTAGTCAGCTCACTCCGTTGCCTCAAATATAGTAAACAGAAGTGCATGGCTCTGACGATGTAGGGGGTAGTACAGTAGGGAGTATGAAATCGGAAATTTTCCCTCCGCCACTCGCTACCCTCGTTCGCTACAGATGCATTCTTGAAGAATTTTTGATTTGACGAATTCAATACCAGGTCGATTCTATGGCTTCCGCTCATCGTCTCGGCCCTCCGAGGACTATTATCAGCATCGTGTCGCCCTTAGCCTCGTGTACCTCGTCGGCATTGCAGGCTCGGCAATTCCCGCGGTTCGACTCCAGCGCTTGCCGCCAACGACAACGGTCTAATCGTTTTGGTAATGGCGCGGTGCACTGTGGCTCTGATGGTGCTCGTATTCTAGGAACCCGAGTAGGTTCAAATTCATTGAATCTAGACGGCTTGAAGGTACAGCGAGTGCGCTTACGTGGCACGGGGAAATGTGAAAACGGCGCGCGGAAATTGCGCAACAATCTGCATCAGAGCTTGCGAAATGTCGAAACTCCCCGCCATAGGTCGCGCACCAGCTGTGCGGCGGAAGGGGAAGGGGGAGGGGGAGCTGTTGCAGCAGTGGAGACTGCGCAGACTGCGCGGAAGGGCGGGGGAGTGAGCAGGCGCGCAACGGAAACTATCACCGCGAGTAAAGTTTCCGCCGAGGGGGACACCGCGCGCGCATTCGGTCCACGGAGAAGCAGAGGCGGCGGAGGCGGGAGTGGGGAAGACGGAGAGGCGGAAATTGGCGAAGCAATCAGCGCAACCTCCCCCCTTTCCCCCATTATCGCGGTTGACGAGTTCTTCTCCCTCCCCTCGCTCGCGCTCCCCCCCGCTCCCCCGGGACGCGCGCTTGAGTCCCTAGTGTTCATGCTGGCGGAAGCGGGAAAGGCGGAGGATGAGGAGGAGTGGGGGGAAGAGGCGGAAGATTGGGGTGAGATCAACTGGGGGGAAGAAGGGGAGTGGAACGCGGGGGGAGAGGGGCAGGGGCAGCGGGAAGGGCGCGGAATCGAGGTTTTTTGGGCCTCAGACGTTAGAAGCGTGCGGGGGGGCGATGAAACGCCTCCCCCCGCCCCTTATTCCGCCCCCTCTTCCCCCTCGCCCCCCTCGCCCCCCACTTCCGCCTCTTCCGCCCCTCTCCCTCTCCCTCCCCCCCATCTGGTCCTCTCGCACCTTCGCTCCGCATCCCTTGCGCCGTGCGTGCTCCTCCCCGCCGCCCCTGCCCTTCCTGGTCCGGGGGAAGGGGAGGAAGGGGTAGGCGGAGGGGCGGATGGGAGAAGCGCGCGAGCAGAGAGGGAGGCGCAAGGGTCGGGGGCAGCGCAGGTTCGGGTGGTGGCTGGGCGGTTTAGGGACGTGTGCACTCCTCCGCCCCTCACACACTTTGTCAGTCCCGCTCCTGCTCCCTCACCCCCTTTCTAAAACTGAGTTATGAGACGTCTCAAAACCCCTTTCTCAAAACTCGGTTTAGGGACATGTTTACCCATCCGCCGCTCTCACACTTTGTCAGTCTTGCTCTCGCTTTCTCACTCGCTCTCTCTGTTTGTTTCTCCGTTTCACTTTATTGTGTCCTTCTCCTTGTCACTCGCGGAGTCCTTATGTCACTCTATTTCTTCAATCCCCACTATCACTATTCGTTCCTCCCATCCCACACATCACTCCGCCCCTCGCTTACAACTTCCTCTCTCTCACACTTTCTCTCCCTCTTTTCCTTCCTGTCAATCCTTCCTCTTTCCTCTTTTCCTTCCTGAAACTCTTGCCCTTCAATCAAACGTCCCCGCCATCCCAACCTTCCTCAACCCCTTTCCAACCCCCTCAACTCCTAACCGTTCTCCTTTCACAACCTCAGTCCCCTTATCTCCTTCGCCCTGTTTCTCCTTCCCTTTCCCCACCCGTTTCTACCCTCTCCGCTTACTCCCTCCCGTTCCACCCAGTGTTCCTCCCTGCCTTACTCCCTCCCTTCCCCCTTCCCTCCCCCCCACGCTCCAGTTCATGCTGCTTGTGCACATGCGGCCAGGGACAGCTGGCAACATCCCATTGGTCCCCCTTACTCCCTACTAATCCCTCCAATCCTCCTCCCCGCCTTAACCCCTCCCCTCCCCCTCCCCCTCCCCGCCTTCCCTTCCCCCCCCCACCCCCACCATCCCCCAGCTCATGCTGCACGTGTACATGCGGCCAGGGACAGCTGTCAACATCCCATTGGACCGCACTCAGTCCGCCCTCATATACGTGCTCGAGGTGGGGTGTCCTGCATTCGTATTATTGAGATTGAGAGGATATTGGGGTGCTCTGAATAGTATTAGTCGGGATTGAGAGTTCATTGGGCAGCCCGGACTGGATCATACATGCCAGATTCTCAAGTAGTCATGTTTCGCCTGCTTTTCTGTCTTGAGAGTTTCACTTTTCTGTGCTCGTATTCCGTTTTTGCGTCGTGTCTCTGTCAGTGTGTGGCTCGTGCCACTTCTCTTTGTCGTTATTATCTCTGTCTGCGTTGTAATAACTGATTCTTGTTCTCCCTTACACCTGTCTGCGTTGTAATAACTGATTCTTGTTCTCCCTTGTCAATCCTGCTCACGTCCCCATACTTGCTTCTTTCCTGCTGCTTGAACTTACTTACTGCCATCCCATCCCCACTTCCCCCACAACCTCCCCGCGTCAATCTCAATGCCAACTGTCCTGCCGCCCGCCTGCTGCCCCGCCCCGCCCAGGCATCTGCACTACTCGCGCACTGCTTGGTGTGTTTTGAGTCGACTCAAAACACACTTGACCCTACCACTACCTACAACCCCCCCCTGCATTCATTGCAATGCCAGCTGTCCTGCTGATCATCTGCTGCCCCACCCACCCATTCCCACTACCCCCTTGTTTCCCACTCAAAGGTCGTGACTCTGTTTGGTCCGTGAGGAGAGGCCATGCTTCAGAATGGATGGCCACATCTGAGACTTTTTCTAGAGTAACTTGAGTGTGTCTGTCTGTGCCGTCTGGCTATCTGGCTGTTATGCGTAATCTCCATTCGACTCCGCTGTCCGGCGTCCGCCCCACCAACATCTAAACTTCCACCACCACCTCATTCCCACCACCACCCCATTCCAAAACACAGGGCGTGGCGATGTTTGGTCCGAGAGGAGAAGCCGTGTTTCAAAACGAGGGGCACTCCCTGCTCTTCCCTGCAGCACCAAGTGGCGCGTCATCTGTCACGTCAGACGCTGTGTCAGAGATGGATAAGGAAACAGATTCCACAGTGGGTGGTGCAGCAGGCGTGGGAGCAAGGGGGGATGAGGAGGATTGGATTCGGGTGGAGTCGCACAGTTGGGGAGGAGTAGAGTTTGTGCTCGTAGCGGGCCAAAGTTAGCAATATGATGGTATTGTTGGGCTGAGAAAGCCCTTAGGATCTTTGCAGAGGATAACTCTTGGGTAGAAACTTGTAATAGCGGAAGCGTTTAATGAAGACTGTGAACCGACCTTGCACTGGTGTGTGAGAGCAAAGTAGATTGAATTAAACAAGCAAATACAAGGATTTATATAAGAGTACAGGGAATACGAATAGATAGATAAATAACTGTATTGCTGTTGCGGTTTGATATAGTGCGACTCGGGCAACTGCCCTGTAACGAGTCAGTTGTGTGTCCTTAACTGTCGCGCTGTAATTGTCGAGTCAAAGGTCGCTGACCTTTGACTTTCTCGTAACCTCCAGGCGGTTACCCTAACCTCCGAGGTTGACTCGATGCTTCGATTGGGACTGCTTCGCTTGGTGCCTTGGATTTTGACACGACAGAAGCGCACTTTAAGACTTATTGTTTCCAACACTCCCCTTCGCTTCTGGAGTGTCGCTGCTGGTGACGTGGCCTTGTCCAGTCAGCAGCATGCAGTATTCGAACTTCTGCTTCCCGAGCTTCTTGGTCAAGTAATCGGCTGCCATCTCAGACGTGGGACAGTATGACAGATCGAGTTTCCCCTTTTCGATCTCGTCCTTCACGAAGGAATAGCGCAGGGCGATGTGTTTCGTCCTGTTTGCGAAGCCGTTCTTGTTGGCGATGCGAATTGCCGACTGGTTGTCGCAGAACACGGTGAAGCTGGGTAACTCGGCTAGCTTCGCTTCTTCCAGTAGTTCGCGAAGGTAAAGTCCCTCCTTGGTGGCTGAGCAGAGTGCAATATATTCTGCTTCTGCTGAAGATAATGCGATTAACTCCTGCTTACTCGACTGCCAGGAGATAGGACCGATAGGCTCAAGGCGGTAGACATAGCCGGTGCGTGAGCGCCTGTTATCGGTGTCGCCGGCGTGATCGGCGTCGACGTAGCCGATTAGCTTGGTCGGTGTAGTCACGCTTTTGTGATAAGTTAGTCCGATCGTCGCGGTGCTGACGAAGTAGTGGAGAGCACGATCGAGTTCCGCCAGATGCTCTGCTTCAGGCCTCTTGAGATAGGTGGCAAGCTGGCTCGCGGAGTAGGATAGATCAGGACGGCATGTGACTGCTGCAAAGAGGAGACATCCGAGCTTCTTCTGATAGTCGCGTATGCCGGCGGGCTTGAGTAGAGTAGATTGCCCCTTTTTGGTTCCTGACGTGTAGCGATAAGGCGTGGAGATGGCGCTTGGTGTGAGGCCGAAACGTTTCGCGATAGTGTCGGCGTACTTCTCGGCGCTTAGGTAGATTGCGTTTTCTTCCTCACGGATGTTGAGCCCGAGGTACTGCGTAACCGTAGAAGAGACCGTGATCGTGAGATCTTTCTGAAGCTCCCCTTCGAACCACGTGGCGATGCTATCGGTCGACCCAATGTAGAGGAGATCGTCCACGTAGACGATTAGTAGGACGTAGTCACTTCCTTTTGTGAGGCGATACATCCCCTGGTCATGCGGAAGTTGTTTGAAGCCGATGCGGATGAGGCGGGCGTGTAGGTACTGCTGCCACAGTCGCGGTGCCTCCTTGATCCCATAGAGTGATTTGAGTAGTTGACACACTCGGTTGGGTTCGCCGTGGGAGCCGTGCGGGAGTTCGACGAAGATTTCTGCATCCACAGGTGCGTAGAGAAATGCGTTCGCAACGTCGATTTGTCGCAATTTCTTTTTCTTCATGGCGGCGATGGCGATGAGAATTCGAAGTGAGGTGTGACGACTGACCGGAGCGAAGGTTTCGGTGTAATCTCTTCCGTGCTCCTGGTCGAAGCCACGTACGACCCAGCGGGCTTTGAATTTGTCGATGGTGCCATCAGCTTTCGTCTTCACACGGAAGACCCATTTCCCGGTAAGAATAGTTTTGTTTTGAGCTACGCCGATGGGAACAATTTTCCAGGTGTTGCGCTCCTCCAGTGCCTTCAGCTCTTTGTCCATCGCTTCACGCCATTTCTCCCTGTGTTCCCCCCCCAGAGCCTGTTGAACCGTCGCAGGCTCCTTAGGAATGCCGGCGCCATGGACTGCGGTGACAAGACCAAGGATTTGCAGCCCAGTCTGTGAGTATCGAGGGAGTTCTGGATCCTCGAGATAGGCTGCTTCGTCTACCGCTTCTGGGTCGGGCATGAAATTTGGCCCTACCCTTTCTGCTTCGTTGGTGTTGATTGTCACAGGTGTAACGTAACCATCGTCGGCGAAACGGTAGAAGACTTCGGCGTTGTTACTGTCGCGAGGATTGTCCTCATCCATGGGCACGTCGACGGAGCAGTAGGGGAGAGGTCCGGCTTCCTCCGAGGCGTTGTCGACGTTCTGTTCATCCCAGTCTGCTTCGTCCGCTGCTGACGCGAAGGCTCGGTCACCACGAAAACCACTGGTGAGGTCCCGATTCTCGTGCAAGTTGGCGAGGTATGTCTGAAGGGTGAGTCTTTCGTAGAAGATCACGTCACATGCTGCTACTGTTTCTTTTGTGTGGACGTCGAAGATTCTCCATGCGTTGTAATTTTTCTCGATGCCGAGGTGTAGTCCCCACTGTGCCCGTTGCGAAAATCTTCCCGCTCGTGCTTCTGGGGGCCTGTACTGTACCATGCACCCGAAAACTCGTAACATTTTTGTGCTGCCCTGCTTCCCTGTCCACAGCAGATGCGGTGATGCGTTGTTCGGGAGTGACGACGACGACAACAGGTTGTGCAGCATGACGGCGTGGTCCATTGCTGCTGGCCACTGGTGGTTGGGTAGCCGCATGCCACGTAACAGTTTGCGCATGCTGTTCTGCAGAGTCCTGTTCATTCGTTCTGCAACACCCTGCTGCTGATGTGCGTAGGGAAGGGAGAGGAGTTGCTTGATCCCCCTTTCCGCCAAGAACTGCTTGAAGCGCTGAGAGGTGTACTCCCCACCTCCGTCTGACTGGAAACTTTTCAGTTGTGTTCCAGACTCTCTCTCTGCTATCGGTAGCCAGGCGGCGAATGCTGCGAGTGCCATGTCGCGGCTGGGTAGGTTACGATGCCAGACATATCGAGTGGCGGCGTCGATGAAGGTGATGGTGTAGTTGTAGTTGATTTGTCCTGGTTCGCGATTGTAGAGGATGTCGCTGTAGACCTTTTCGAGTGGTGCGTATGCTGGAGCGCTCGGGTTGTGATGTGGAGTGAACGGTCGATGAGGTAAGTCAGCTTCGGGACATATAAGGCAAGTCCCTCGTGCCTTCTGGAGTTCTATGCCATCGGGTAGAAGTAGGGAGTCTTTGTCAAGAACTCCTGCTCTTATCGTGTTATTTAAAACCGTGTTGCTTGGATGTCCTGTGCGTGCGTGCCAGATCTCTTCAGAGGCGCGGTGTCCGGGTGAACGCTGATATGCGTCGGAGTTGGAGTAAAAGCTGGCGACGAGGTTGGCGCTTCGGTGGACTTCACGTTGAGTCGGATTCAGCTGTTGCGCGGGTGTTGGTGGTGCTTCGTCGACTGTGACTGGTGTCGTTGTTCCTGCTGCTGCTGATGTTGTTGCTGCTGCCGATGTTGTTGCTGTTGCCGATGTTGTTGCTGCTGCCGATGTTGTTGCTGCTGCCGATGTTGTCGCCTCTGCTTCTTGTTGAATCGTTGCTAACGCTCTTGTTCGTTCTGCTTCAGGGATAGTGTGGGAGTACCAGAAACCTCCCGGGCTGAAGTCGGGGTCGAGATCCGGAGGGTGTGTCCAATCAGCAAAGTTCACAATGGCGTCGCTGTCTGCAGTGCCGAGGTCGGGAACGAAGTCGAGGACGAAGACGTTGTTCTTCAGCACCGCCTTCCCGATGTAGAGACCGCCTCTCCCGTGGTAAAGCTTGAACTCCTGGGTCGTGCTGTCGGCTTCCAGATGAATTCCTTTCGCCATCAACTGGCTAACACTCAGTAAGTTGTAGCCGAGTCCTTCAGCGATGAGTACCTTGGACATGTGTAGTATAACATTTGTTTCTCTTGACTGAAGCTGTACCACTCCTTGTCTTCGTGTGCGCAGGTTTTGATTGTTGGCAACCGTGATGATCACTTCTCGTTGGAGTCGGTGTTCGCGTTGTACGAAACGCCCGGACGAGCACATGTGTTGCCCGCAGCAGCTGTCCAAGAACCAGGTGTCTTGGCCGGACGGTTCACTTTGAGCGATGGCGGCGTAAGTCGGATTTGGGTGGAGTGATTCGCGACGAGGCGTCCTGTTGTCGAGCTCCTCTTCCGGTGAGTAATGGGGTGGTGACTCTGTTATGCAAGAGTCGTTTATCTTGACCATGCAGTTGACTATATTTCTTGCTCCTTGTGCAGGTTGTCCGGTTGAGGTCGTTGAAGCTTGAATTGTGGTTGTCGAGCTTGCTTGTGTCGAAGCAACTTGGGTGCTTGAAGGCCGCAGTTGTCGCTGTGGTGTTGTCTGACGAGACGGGCAGTGCGTGCGTGGGTGTCCTGATGTCTTGCAGATGTGACAAAACGGAGGTACTAGCTTCGGCTGTTGCTGTTGATTGTTGTAGTTGTTGTGTCGTCGCTGAGTATGGAAGGCAAACTCCGGTGCTAATACTCTTTTCTTGTGTCTTTCTTCTTGCAGGTCCATATCCTGCTGCTCGGCGTGTATTTCGGCGCAGAGTGCCGCTTCGGAGATCCTCCCGTGTGCTCGAAGAATTGCTTTGGTGGCGCGCCACTGAGGACCGAGGCCACCGATGATGACTGTTACGAAGGCGTCTTCAGAGATTGATCCTCCGCATCGAAGAAGCTTGTCGCGCAATTCGCGACATCGACTGATATACGCCAACCCTTTTTCCCCTGGTTTCATTTCAACTGTTGTCAACTGCGCCATTAACCTGCTCTGGTTTACACAGTCCGTTGCCTGGTACAGGTTCTTCATATGGCCGTACGCGAGTTCCGCCGAGTTGCCGAAGTTCCGGTAAGAGCGAATGTTCTGCTGCTGGGTTGGTGTGATGTTTCTCAGTAGAATAGTATACGCCATCATGGATTGATACGTATACTGCTGCTTTTCATACTGTGTCCCGTTTGCTGGATACTGCAGGGATCCGTCGAAGAAGCCGAGTATCTGCGCGCCCTCCATCATCAACTCGAATTCAAAGGACCAGGTAAAGAAGTCCTTTCCGTCGAAAGGTCTTGACGTTTGTAGTTTCAGAACATGCGCGAACTGCGACTGAACTTGTAAGGCATCCATTGGTTTGTCTTGCGCAGGTGGAGGTTGAGGCAGGAAGCTGATCGACCCACGTTCGTACGGGGCGAAGGTGGGTTGCTGCTGTTGATTCCCTCGCGCATATGACGACCCGTCAAGGCTCATGGGTACCGCTCCGTTGTTGCTGTTGTGTGTCTGTGCAGGTCCCGACTGCTGGTGTTGCTCTTAGAAGGACATGAAGGAGAAGAATTTCTCCATCATGTTCTGGTCGAAGTCAGAAGGGTGGTTCGTGGGTGTCTCGGTTGACGTTCCCCTTGGTCTTGCTGCCGTGCCTTCCTCTGTCTGCAGGCCAGAGGCTGGTGGTGGAGTAGGAGTAGTGCCCGAGGAGCCATTAGGAGAGCTCCTTTCCTTGTTTGTTGCCATGTCTTGAAATGATTTTGAAAAGAGTTAGAGTTTTCCCCTGTCTGCTCTCATACCATGTTGGGCTGAGAAAGCCCTTAGGATCTTTGCAGAGGATAACTCTTGGGTAGAAACTTGTAATAGCGGAAGCGTTTAATGAAGACTGTGAACCGACCTTGCACTGGTGTGTGAGAGCAAAGTAGATTGAATTAAACAAGCAAATACAAGGATTTATATAAGAGTACAGGGAATACGAATAGATAGATAAATAACTGTATTGCTGTTGCGGTTCGATATAGTGTGACTCGGGCAACTGCCCTGTAACGAGTCAGTTGTGTGTCCTTAACTGTCGCGCTGTAATTGTCGAGTCAAAGGTCGCTGACCTTTGACTTTCTCGTAACCTCCAGGCGGTTACCCTAACCTCCGAGGTTGACTCGATGCTTCGATTGGGACTGCTTCGCTTGGTGCCTTGGATTTTGACACGACAGAAGCGCACTTTAAGACTTATTGTTTCCAACAGGTATTGTCTCAGGTGTGTTGTGTGACATGGATTGAGCCAACCGTTGTCATGATTGATTATCGGTCTCAAATAAGTGAAGCTTGATGAGGGTGGAACAGGCATGGGGCAATGTGAATAATGTGTACGTGAAGTCTTTGTGAAAGCATACGATAAAATTGGCCCGCAACATAAAAACTTATAGCAAATAATGTGGTAATACTGTTTTATCTCCAGCATGCTCACCTGACGGTATTTTCCGCAAGCGAGGATGCCAGTACGGTATGTCAAAACGGATATCCAAACTCGAAATTCAAATTCGCGCTGCGCGATGAGCTTCAGTTTGGAACCTGAGAACTGGCCCTTGCATTGGAACCAATCCCCATACGTTGATGGGCTACTGCAGACAGCTCTTCTACTCATGTGCATCAAGTTGATTCTCTCTGCTCGCACGACTTTCTCGACTGCCAAATCACTAATTAGTTGATGTCGATCATGTTGCAAACCTGATTGCAGCAGGAAATCGTGGTTTCTTGCTTTCGGGTCATTAGATACGTTTGGGATATTTGAGGTTGATCAGTTCGTGTTTCGTGTTGATGCACTGACTACAACTGACTTCTCCTTCCCCCGACTGTTATTTTAGATAGGGAGCCATGACGACGAGCGGCGTGAGAGGACCGAGTTTTCCCCCTACAGCCAAGCCGACCGTGTTCGAAGCGACGGGCTGTTACAAGTGCGGCCGGCCCGGCCACTGGTCCAAAGACTGCAGTTTCGGCGGCAATGACGGCCGCACCGCCGAAAATCGCACCGCCGAAGCACGCGACTCCGGCGAAGGCCTCAACGCCCGCTTTGCACCGAATAACGCGAACAACCATAACGCGTCCCCGAACCAGCGGCCTTTCGGCTCAGCCACCCCGCAAGGCAAGCGGCCGTATAACGGTTTCTCCAACGGTCCGGGCGCGAACACGCAGCGCGCGGGCATGGATGGCGCCGACGCCATCGATCCGCTCAACCAAAGCGCGCTAGCGGCGGCGGCGGCGGCGGTGGGGATGAAGGTGACGCGGAAGCGGCCGAAGCTGACTGCGACGATGCTACTGTCGGACGAAGGGCTTCCTTACGTGCTGAAGGAACTGCCGAAGCAGATCAAACTGCGAGGGAAGGGACACGAGGTGAGTGGAAACTGGCTTAACAGTGCTTCGTGTCGATTCAAATCCCACCTTGGGATTGCCGTGACTGCGACGATGCTGCTGTCGGACGAGGGGCTGCCGTACGTGTTGAAAGAGCTGCCGAAGCAGATCAAGCTGCGCGGCAAGGGACACGAGGTGAGGCAATGAGGTGGGAACCGGCGTCGATAAGACATCCCGTCTCGTTTTGTGAAGCACATCATGAAGCCACGGTATTTTGAAACGTTCTTTAGAATGCATCCGCGCCCAAATCATCACCATCAGTAGCATCCACGTGTGCATGATGTGGTGTGCGTGTGCGTGCGTGGATTGGGCTCTGGAAGGTGGGGGACCTGCGAAGGATCCTGGAAGGATACGTGGGGTGGCACAAGCGCTTCTTCCCGGCGCTGTCCTTCCCCGAGTTCATCGAGAAGGTGGAGAAACTCGGCAACACGCGCAGCGTCCGGGTGAGTGGGGAATCGTCGCTTTCTTGGGAGCTGGGTGGGTGTAATAGTTTTGTCGTTTTTTTTTTTAAATTTATTATTTATTTTCTAGTAGTTTTAATTTTTACCCAGTATGCGATTTCCGCCTTCGCATGTAGCAGTATGTATGTCTGTCGTATCATTCGCTCCGAACACACAGTTACATCTGCACGACACTTAACATGTACCGTGTCATGTCCACCACATATCCAGGCTGCCGTTTGCAATCCACTACTTATAGTACGGCAGCATTGAAACGATTCGTAAGGCGACTCAAATTATATCCCTTCAACCCATTCTGCCATCTTTACCACATCTTATGTGCAGGCTGGCATTCGCGACTTGGTCGACGATTTCGAGCACGGGAGGGGCATCGGCAGCGACCGATTCAAAGACACAGCGGATGGCGGCACAGGTGATTGGGAAGATGGTGGGGAAGGCGGTGGTGGGGAAGGCGGTGGTGGGGAAGGCGGTGGTGGGGAAGGCGGTGGTGGGGATGGCGGCACTGTGGGTGCAGCAGAGGAGGAGCAGCGTGATGAGGACTTCCCTGGGCTTGGTGGTGGATGGGATGATGACGATGATGACTGGGGCTTTGGGAATGGCGGGGTTGCTGGTGGTGCTAGTGGTGGTACCACTGGTCCTGCTGCTGCCAATGGTGCTGCTGCTGCCAATGGTGCTGCAGCTGCCAATGGTGCTGCAGCTGCCAATGGTGCTGCTGCTGCCAATGGTGCTGCTGCTGCCAATGGCACTGCGGGAGCAGCAGAGGAGGAGCATCCTGATGACGAATTTCCTGGGCTTAGAGGTGGTTGGGATGATGACGATGATGACTGGGTTGGGAATGAGGGAGGCGGTGCTGCTGCTGCTGCTACTGGTGGCACTAGCGCTGCTGCTGGCACCGGTGCTGCTGGTGCCGATGGTGCTGCTGCTGCCAATGGTAGCAATGGTGGCGGTGCTGGTGGTGGCAAAGGTGGTGGGGAACACGGTGCAGGTGGCGGTTCTAGTGCCGGTTCTGGGGGCACTGGAGCTGCTGCTGCCAATTGCGGCGGTTCTGGTGGTGGCAAAGGTGGTGGGGAGCACGGTGCAGGTGGCAAGGAGACTGATAGTGGGCATGGTGTTGAGGCGACTCACGGGACCGCCCGCCAGGGGGAGCAGAGCAATAACAGCCCACACGCGGGCACCAAGGTTGATAGAGTAAGTCTTAACCGTCTCAGCGACCTTGACGGAAAACCTGATGAAGACCCTGATGCGGATGCTGGTTCACGGGGACAAGAAGTCGTGAAGACTGGCGTAGAAGAGGCTGATGTGGAAGGTGCTGACGTGGAAGGTGCTGACATGGAGTTTTCCCTAGAAAAATCACCGCCAGCTGTCATCCCATCTGACACCCCAGCCGCCACTCCAGCCGCCGCGCCAGCTGCCACTCAGCCCCATAGTCCTGCTGCTGCAGACTCTGATCACCCCACCGAAGATAACGAGGATGCTTTTATGGAGGATGACATGGGCGCGGGCACCGCAGCAGAATTCCTTGTGGCGCCAAGGGAAACCCCTGGCGGTGCGGGTGTAGGGGTGAAGCACAAGGCGAAGAGGCTTTTGAGTCGACTCAAAAGTCATCCTGTGGCTGTCCCTGGTGATTTGGGCGCGGGCGCCACAGCATCAGCCATGGTGGCTGCTCCTGGTGGTGTGCGTGCAGGCGTGAAGCACAAGGTCAAGAGGCGTCGGGTGATTCTAGAGGACGAGGATGAGGAGGAGGATGGGGATGCTGATGCTGATGCTGGTGCTGTTGGTAGTGCTGCTGCTGGTGCTGCTGCTGGTGGTGGTGGTGCTGCTGCTGCTGCTGGTGCTGCTGGTGCTGGTGCTGGTGCTGCTGGTGCTGGTGCTTCTGCTGGTGCTGATGGCAAAGGATCCAGCAGCAAACACGAAGAAGAGGGTGAGGGGCTGAAGGCGTGCATAATGGAGGAGGCTGAAGTGCAAGCGGACGGAAGGGAAGTAGAGAGCGAAAGAGGGTTAGAAGAGATAAGGCTTCCTGGTGGCGAAAAGGAGAAGGAAGAGGAGGGTACAAAGGAGAAGGGAGAGGAGGGTACAGAAAAGGAGAAGGAAGAGGAGGGTACAGATGAGAAGGAGAAGGGAGTGGAGGGTACAGAAGAGAAGGAAGAGGAGGGTACAGAAGAGAAGGTAGAGGAGGGCACATTAGAGGAGAAGGAAGAAGAGGTTACAGAAGAGAAGGAAGAGGAGGGTGCAGAAGAGACAGAAGAGGAGGATACGGAAGAGAAGGAAGAGGAGGAGGGTACAAAAGAGACGGAAGAGGAGGGTACAGAAGAGAAGGAAGAGGAGGGTACAGAAGAGAAGGAAGAGGAGGGTACAGAAGAGAAGGTAGAGGAGGGTACAGAAGGGGAAAATGTACTGGTAGTGGATTTGGAGGGATCTGATGCTGCTGCTGCTGCTGCTGCCATGTCACCTGCATTTGGTCCTCTTGCTGATGTGGCACATGGACCTGCAGCTGAAGCATCTGAACCTGCTGCTGTTGCACCTGAACCTGCTGCTGTGGCACCTGAACCTGCTGCTTTGGCACCTGAACCTGCTGCTGTGGCACCTGAACCTGCTGCTGTGGCACCTGAACCTGCTGCTGTGGCACCTGAACCTGCAAAGGTGCCACTGGAACCAGCAGCTGAGGATTCTGAACCTGCAGGTGCAGCTTCTGAACCTGCTGTTGTTGTGCGTGCCGCAAAGGCAGATGGTGGTGCTGACACCACGGAATGTGCATATGGCCCCTCATGTGCATATGGCCTCTCATGTGCCGCTGGCCTCTCATGTGCCGCTGGCCTCTCATGTGCCGCTGGCCCCTCATGTGCCGCTGGCCTCTCATGTGCCGCTGGCCCCTCATGTGCCGCTGGCCCCTCATGTGCCGCTGGCCCCTCATGTGCCGCTGGCCCCTCATGTGCCGCTGGTGCTGAAGAGCCTCGTGCTGATGATGATTCTGGAGACATTCTTGTATCAACTGCTGCTGCTGCTGCAACTGCTGCTGCTGCAACTGCTGCTGCTGCAACTGCTGCTGCTGCTGCAACTGCTGCTGCAACTGCTGCTGCTGCAACTGCTGCTGCTGCAACTGCTGCTGCTGCAACTGCTGCTGCTACGAAACCTGGTGATGCCGATGGTGTTGACATATGTGGTGGATCTGCACTTCTTCCTGGTAGTGCAGCGAGGTATGTGAGTGAGGAGGAGCTTGCTGATTTCATCCAGTTTTTGGATGACGTGTGACAGGTTTTAGAATGGTGTATGAATATTAATACATTGAGTCAAAGTTCTTGCGGTTTGCTGCTGCTTGCGGAGGGGGCTTCTTGAGGGGGGGGGGGGGGGGGGGGGGGAGTGTGAGGAATTTTCTCACCATTCCTTACCGCAACCGTCAACATCGCGTACAGCAGCAGCCGTTGTTCGCCCGTTGCAAATGGGGCTTCGCCAAATTCGCGTGCACATTTTACCAAACCATGCACCGCTGGCCTCGCCGAGTCTGCCTACGCTTCGGAACTAGCCCGAACCTCCATGCCAGCCTAGCACTAGCTAGCTCGCACGCACCGCGTAACTGTTGCATGTTTCGCACGTAAGTATTCGCTCATGTCTTCGCTCATACTTTGTACTCGTTTGACACCTAGTGCAATCCTCGCTATCTTGTTCCATTGCACCCGTAACAACCGTTCACAAATGACGCACAACACTGTGCTTGCTACTACAGGACGCACTTCACATGATATCTACACAACACAACAGCACTACTTTCTTACAGACACCTCAAAAGTCACAAATGAATTCGCATGATCGATCGATACACAACGTTGTGCACCCATTTTCTGACGTACAAAGGATGCAGAGCAGCAGCAGCAGCAACACTGCTGCAGCAACCCCTTACTGGGTGAGACCATCCCACCCCCCACGACCTCATCTCCGCATGCAGCAGAGGAACGGCAGCAGCAACACGAACGCACCCGATATAACCGCCATTTTTTGCCAGGCCTTCAGCCACACACCCAGCAGCGCAGACAGCAGTGGCCCTGAAGCATACCCCGCAGTATACGCCAAATTAAACATCCCCACTGCAAGCGCCACGTCAGACGAGCCTTCCCCAGCTGCCGCCCGCTTGTCCAACGCCTGGATTATACACGGCAGGCTGGGGAACTCCACTAACGAGTACGCCACTCCTGTGAGAGCTATTAACGGGTATAAAACGTGCAGCTGGCATGACACCCCCGGGATGACCAGGAGAGGGAGCGTCGCGGCGAGTGTGGCGGCCCCGAGCGTGATTGTAGCGGGGGGACCCAGTTTCCGGATGAGGTAACCACCGAAGAGGAGAGAGAAGAGCGCGTAAGAAGCGCCGTTGATTCCCATGGAAATGCCGATCTCGGATGGGGAGTGGTCGCAGGTGTTATCTAGAAAGAACGAGACGGTGACCTCTAGGAGCCCGTTGGAGAGGGTTTGCAGGAAGGTGAGGGCGAGCAGGGTGGCAGAGGTGCCGTCTGTGAGCATCGTGGCGAAGAGACGGAGCGCTGACAGCCGTTGATTCGGGCGGTGTTGCTTGGGTTTGGTGGGATCGACGGCTGAGGGCTGCTGGGTGGAGTGGTGGGTTGTGGAGGGGTGAGGAGCGGTGTGTTTGTGCTTCTGCTTCTGGTGGTGCTGCAGCTGCTGCTCCTGCCACGCTTGGACTTTTGCTGACGGAGTGATTAGCTGCTGCTGGGGTGTCACCTGCTGCTGCTGCTGGTGCTGGCTCATTTGGTGTTGCTGTTGCGGTTGCTCCTCGTGTTGCTCTATCTGCTGCGTCTGTCCCGGGCCTCCCACGCCTAGAACCCCGATTTCCACATGCCCTCTTTCCAAGGATCCCATGGGAGATAGGGGCACGTCTGCCGCCGCTGACCTGGATGAGGACCGTGCTGACGTGGAGCGCGTGAGGGAGGAGCTTCTGGAAGGAATGGCGAAGATGGGCGCGCCTCGGTACACGACGGGCCGCTCCTGCTCTGACACCTGTAGCTGCCACGTCGGCAAGCTATCTGCCAATGGCGCTTCCGTAATACTACCCCCGCTTATAGTACCATTGTACTCGATATAAGCTTTTCCAGAACCGTCTTTCGCCTTCGCAGCAGCTACAGCAGAAGCTACACTTTCCACGTCAGCGACTTTATTGCGGCGCCGGCCGCCGCAGCAGCAGGGGAGGACGAAGAGCAGGAGGAACAACAGCGCGGCGTCAATCCCGAGGGAGAAGAGGAACGGGAGGGACGGCGAACCGAACTGGAACAGGAATGTCATTGTAACGGGGCCAGCGACTGAGCCCACCGCCGCCCACGCGAACAGCATCGCGACCGCGCCGAACAGCAGCTCGCGCCCTCCAAGCGCCGCCGCTGCGGTCTTTGGTGCTTCGGCGGCGGCGGCGGTGGCGGCGCCGGCTTTTCCCTGTTGGGATGATGCAGACGTGACGGATTCCGGTTTTTCCCCTGCGGTGGCGGGCGCAGCGGCTAGCGCGGGAACGAGGTCGGAGGGATGCGGGGAGAGTGCGCCATCTTCCCCCGGAAGCACCTGCGGAAGCTTCTGTGCGGAGGCGGCGGCGGAGGTGGGGGAGGCGTGCGGGGAGGCGCAAGCGGAGGCGGAAGCGGATGCGGAAGGGGAAGGAGAAGGGAGCGCAGAAGGGCTGTGCGCGTGTGTGGCGAATGAAAGCGCGCCGGCGCGCACAAGCTGCGTGCATATACCCTGTAGCATTAGCGCTCCGGCCAGCCACAGCGGCCCTGCGGGATACGCGAGCAGCACGAGCGTCGCGGCGTAGAGCAGCAAAGTGACCGTTAGCCCGCAAAACGTGGTGACGCAGGAGAGCAGCGGGCAGGCGGGCAGCGCAAAGAGAATGGCGGATGTGGACCGGCCCGCGAGGAGAAGTGTTGAGGACGTTTCGGGCAGGCGGAAAAGTTTGGCGAAGGACGGAAGGAGCGGCGCGATGGAGCTGACGTTGAATTGGTCGAAAAACATTGAGCCTTGGGAGAAGCGGAAGCGTGGGAGGGATGGAAGTAAGGGAGGAGGGAAAGGTGGGGGAGTGGGAGAGGGGAAACGATGAGGGGAAGGTGGGGGAGTGGGAGAGGGGAAGCGATGAGGGGAAGGTGGGGGAAAGCACGGGCGAGCAGGATGCGCGGCGCGATGGAGGTGATGTCGAATTTGTCGAAAACATGGAGCCTAGGGCGGGGGAAAAGGGGAGAGTGTAGGGGGGAAAAGCCTGGCGAGAGGGAAGGCGGAAGAGGGCAGTGGGGAAAGGGAGAGCGTGGCAGTGACGAAGGGGAAAATGGCTGGAAGAGGGGGAAGGTGCTGCAGCAGGGCGCATGGACGGGCCAGACGCGTTCAGATGAATTCTGGTGAGATACTTTGAGAAGTCTACGAAACGCGCAAGAGACACATGCGCTGAGTAGAAGATATTTGAGAGCACAGTAACAAGTATTGCGCCTGCTGGTGGTCGTGGAAGTACTAAGGGGTGTCCCAAACGTGGTACCTGCTAGTAGTCGAAGGAGGCACATGTCTTTACTCGACAGTCCCGCGTTTCTCACGCTCGAGCCGCTCATCGCAACTTCCGCTGCTGCTTCAGCGGGAATCACGGCGGTGGAGCCGTTATCCTTTTGTGAGACTCCATGACTCTCGCATCCCGCATTCGCGGCTGCTTCTCTGGCCGTAGATCCGCTAGCAGACTGAACGGATTCTCTTAGAGTCTCCGCCAATGTCATTTTACCCCAGCAGCCTTTTCACTAGGCAGACTAATCGCCGTTTACAAGTCGAGCAGACCCCCTCGACAGTCGATGACCAAAGCGGAACAACCAATGGGTAGTACGCTTCGCTTTCCTACAGAAAGTGCCTATTTTCTTCCCCGAAGGTTCTCTAAGCAATAAAAAGGCCAAAGTAGTAGGCCGCCCGATTGCTTGCCCTTTCCTGTCAAAGCGTGTCAGGTCGTTTCGAGCATTCCAATCTCCCTACCTAGCAAAGAGTATGAAGTGAAAAAAAAAATGAGAATTCGACGGAGCTCAGGTTTCGCAGTCCCCCCCTGCTCGCTCTCTTCCAAGGAACAATGGCTTGCGCAACGAACCTCCGCTGCACTCCTCGATCGTCTAATCTCGCGCGGAATACACGAGGTCAAGAATTCCGCGAAATCTGATTCATGTGGTAGAATCTGCTCGTTTTTGAAAGAAAAGCACGTTCGACTAACACAGCTGCTCAAGAAGCAGTAGAGGCAGCAGCTATAATTGTTTTGCGCCTGGCGGAGGTGCGTTCCGCGTTCTAAATTCCTTCTCCGCTCGTCACGAGTCAAATGACGACGGCTCCAACAGCTATTGGCGAACATATGGGTGCAGAGCGGTACTAGCTGATAGCAGTTTGAAATCATCTGGACATTGCATGCCGTGTGCTGCGGGAGCTCGCATCCATCGTTGAATCGCGTTTTTCCAAGGCAGATCGACGGTGCATGTGCAAAACGATAGACGCGACTCGCAATTATTGAAGTGATAGGAACGCAGGCAAGGTTGTTCTGAAAAACCCCTGCTATAGAAGTGAGATCCTACTGCGTATTATGCAATGAGATCTCACCCAGTTGATCTCGAAGTATATAGCCACAGTTTCATCAAATATAGAAAAAAAACTATTAAATTGGTCATGAGGGTCAATGTAGAATGTACTGGTACCAGAAACAAAAATGAAGCTCATATTGATATTCATTCGAGTGCGTGAATATCCCGAAAACCCCGGCTCCTCAAGTATGCTTGCAGAACAGGCTGGTTTTCAATGTCGGCCAGGGGCACCCAGCTATCTTCAGTTGGTGTGCAGTCCTTTCAGCGAACGAGGAACTCGATCCTCTTGATGCCGGTAGGGAGTCGGATCCGATGGCTCAATATCTTCTCGGGCTCAACGATCGGCTCCGATGCAGGGCGGGTCATGTCAGAACATATAGCTTGTGCTTATTGTGTAGGCTATAGTGGGGTAGCCCATAAGGGGTACAACCCAATTAGGGTTAGTACTTGTACTCAGTTCATTCATAGTTCATTTCATTCTCGTTTCAATCTTCTCATGGTATCGAGCAGGTTCCCTCGTGGGAACTGTGCCTAGGGCCCACCAACTCGAAATAATTTTTCCTGCCCGGAGCGCGCGCACCCCGAGTCGCGCTCCCCCTTCCTAGCTGCGCCCCGGCCCCGTCGCCCTACCTGCGCCTCGGCCCCGTCGCCCTACCTGCGCCCCGGCCCCGTCACCCTACCTGCGCCTCGGCCCCGTCGCCCTACCTGCGCCCCGGCCCCGTCGCCCTACCTGCGCCCCGACCCCGTCGCCCTACCTGCGACCCCGGCCCCGTCGCCCCCCCCTTGCGACCCCGGCCTCGTCGCCCTACTTGCGGCCCGGCCCCGGCCCCGTCGCCCTACCTGCGCACCGGCCCCGTCGCCCTACCGTCGACCCGGCCCCGTCGCCCTACCTACGACCCGGCCCCGGCCCCGTCGCCCTACCTGCGCACCGGCCCCGTCGCCCTACCGTCGACCCGGCCCCGTCGCCCTACCTACGACCCGGCCCCGGCCCCGTCGCCCTACCTAAGACCCGGCCCCGGCCCCTTAGCCCTACCTGCGCACCGGCCCCGACGCCCTACCTTCGACCCGGCCCCGTCGCCCTACCTACGGCACGGCCCCGGCCCCGTCGCCCTACCTACGGCCCGGCCCCGGCCCCGTCGCCCTACCTACGACCCGGCCCCGGCCCCATCGCCCTACCTACGGTCTGGCCCCGGCCCCGTCGCCTTACCTTCGACCCGGCCCCGCCGCCCTACCTACGGCCCCGCCCGCACGCCTCCGCAGCCGAGCCGCCCGAGCCGCCCGAGCCGCCCGCGCCGCCTGCGCCGCCCGAGCCGCCCGAGCCGCCCGAGCCGCCTGGGCAGCTGAGGAGCCGAGCCGCTGGTGCCGCCGAGGTGCAGTTGCTGCCAAGCCGCCCGAACTGCCTCAACCGCCCTGTCTGGTGAGCGCAGCGCCTCTGTCACCGCACTGCCCCTGCTCTACAGTTAGCGCTGTTAGTCTACTGCTGTCATGGCTACCCCCAGTGTTCTCACTTTTCACGCTGAGGGTCGGGCCATTGACTTTGACGTCAGGGTAGATGACCTGCAGCTTTTCCTACAGTGCGATAGGGCAGACGGTCTCTCCCTCTTTGACCTCACCTCTGGTGCTTCCCCTGCCCCTGCTGCCGATGCCGACGCCACCGTTCGCTCACAGTGGGCCACTCGCGATGCTGCTGCACGTTTTGCTGTGCGTCGCCACCTTCCTACCACTGAGCGCGCGCACTTTAGTCAGTACAAGAGTGCTCAGACCTTGTACGACGCTGTAGTTGCACGCTACTCTTCTCCTGCCACTGCTGCACTGAGCCGCCTCATGCTACCGTACCTCTTCCATGACCTTGCTGCCTTTCCCACAGTCGCTGACCTCATTACGCACCTCCGCACTAGTGACACTCGCTACCGCGCTGCGCTTCCTGCTGACTTCTGCGCCAAGAACCACCCCCCCCATGTACATCACTCTCTACTACTTAGTCACTCGCCTCCCTGACTCCCTTCGCGTAGTCAGGGACCACTTCCTCTCAGTCTGTCCCACCACTCTTGAGGAAATTAGAATGAGAATGAGGTGAACTATGAATGAACGAGTACAAATATGAAACCCTAGTTGGGTTGTACCCCCTATGGGATACCCCACTATAGCCTACACAATAGCATAAGCTATAATGTTCTGACAACTCTCACTGTTGACCTCCTCGAGAAGTCCCTCCTAGCGGCCGAGAAGAGTATAGTCGCTGTAGGGGCCTCTCGTGGTGACCCGCGCACCCCCATCTTTGAGGGGTGTTCCCCCTCCCCCCTTCTGCCCTCCGTTGCCTCTGCTGCTGCGGCCGACCTCCTTGGTCTTGAGTCGGTCGATGCGGCGTCTACCCCTAGCGGGAGACGCCGCTCTGGCAAGGGCAAGGGGGGCAGGGGCGCTAGAGGAGCGAGCGGGGGCGGTGGAGGTGGAGGTGGAGGCGGCGGGGGGAGTGGGGGTGGTGGTGGGAGTGGAGGTGGGGGTGGAGGTGTCGGTGGCGGCAGTGGAGGCGGAGGCAGCGGCGCCAGTGGCGGTGGGAGCGGAGGTGGCGGAGGTGGTGGCGGTGGAGGAGGCGGCAGAGGCGGCGGTAGTAGCGGAGGCGGCGGAGGCGGCGGAGGCGGCGGGGGTGGCGGTGGAGCTGGTCGCGGGTCTACGCAGAGGAGTAGCTCCGGTGGTGGTCCACACCAGCAGCAGCAGCGCGGTCGTGAGACCCTGTCCCCTCAGCAGCTCCGTGAGTGGTACACTGCACGCCACCGGGGTGGGGGTTTTGGTCCGTGCACCTATGTCCTGCGCACCAGCGATTGTGCGGGTGAGCAGTGTGGGGGTGCGCACCCCACCCAGCGCTGCTTTGGCCGCTTGACGGACGCGTGGCGTCACCAGTTCCCGGAGGCCACTGAGATCCCTCGCTGGGGCGAGCTGTCTAGGGCGGGAGTTGCCATCTATGATCTTGATTTAGATGCTACCCTTTCTACCATGTATGCTGTGTCTATTAGTGATGAGGGTGACTGTTACCGGTGTTTCCCGCCTGATCCGGGCATTGAGACTGCTGCTCTAGGTACTGGTTAGGCTGCTGCCCTAGGTGCTTGCGACGCTGCTGCTCTAGGTGCTAGTGCGTCTGCGCCCTCAGGTACTGGTGAGTGTGCGCTCTCAGGTACTACGTCGGCTTCGGCCTCCCTCACCTTCACCCTTGACTCTGGGGCTTCTCGCTCCTTCTTTCGGGACCGCACCACACTCACGCCACTTAGTTGGCCTGTTGCGGTGTCTCTGGCTGACCCCTTTGGGGGTCCTGTCGTGTCTCACTTCTCCACTGTCCTCCCGTGTCCGGCGGCTCCCTCGGGCACCCTGTCTGGTCTCTACCTCCCCTCGTTCTCTACGAACCTGGTGAGTGATGCTGACCTACAGGATGGGGGAGTACACCAGTTCACTCCTGCGCGTCAGCGGGTGACGCACTACACAGAGGCTAGCACAGGCCGACACCTGGCCACGTTTACCCGTCGGCCGGGGTCGAGCCTGTACACACTGACCACTGCGTCTTCTCCGGTTGCTGCGTCTGGTAGGGTAGCTGCGTCGGGTCAGGTGCTAGCTGCAGCGTCCAGGTCTGGTCCTTTGTCTGCCCCCTGTTTGTCGTCTCCTGTCTCACGAGACTCTCCTCTGGCACCACCACCTTGGTCACCCCTCTCTACTTCGGCTCAGAGGCATGGCCTCCTGTCCTTTTGTTTCTGGTCTCCCCCGGTCCCTTCCTCCCCTTCCTCAGGGCCCTGGCCCTACATGTGTCCCTTGTGTCGAGGGGCGCCAGCGGGCTGCCCCTCACTCCTCCCAGTTTCCTCCGACAGAGGCCCCGTTGCAGACGCTTCACATGGACGTGTGGGGCCTAGCCCGCGTCTGTGGACAGGGTCACGAGCGCTACTTCCTGCTCGTTGTTGACGACTACTCGCGTTACACCGCAGTCTTCCCCTTGCGTAGCAAGGGTGATGTCACTGAGGTGCTGATCGACTGGATCCGCGCAGCTCGTCTCCAGCTCAGGCAGAGCTTTGGTTCGGACTTTCTTGTTCTGCGTCTGCACTCGGACAGAGGCGGAGAGTTTTCTTCTGGCCTTCTGAGAGCCTACTGTCGCGCACAAGGAATCCATCAGACCTTCACGCTTCCGG